CGAAAGTATCATGTTCCTCAGTCGCAGAGCAAATCAGTTCCCAGGGAAGGACTACAGCCTCGATGAATACACTAGTACAATCAGGCATTCCTGGGTGACCCTGGTACGAGATCAATAATCATAACAGTTAAATACTTCTTGTAGCATAAACATCAACATTTTTTCTTTAAGCAAAATAAATAAACAATAATGAGACTTGGAGATTGCTATCTGAAAAATGAAACCATACATTTTTTAATATTGGATATTTGTGGGTCACCCTAAATAGATGAAACATTCCCCCTTTGAACTCATTGAGATCATGCCTCCAGTCAAGAGAATTATGCCCGAAAACATGTTTGCAACTTCCAGTACCAAGCGATAAAGAAAAACGCACTGTCAGAGTGTTTTCAATGGCCAACGGAGTAGGATTAACCACACTTCCACAGCGAAGAGAATTTTGAAGAATAGGCATGTGAGGCATCGATTCAGGTAGACCTTCCATATTAAGATAGTAATCAGATATCTACATCAAAGAGTGAACAAAAGAGGATAAACTGAAGTGTTAATAGGAAAAATTTGACATCTTAACATGCCAGACAAACAAAGAAAGTACAGTTTAAAGTACAAAATTAACCTCACATATCCTGCACACATTTCTATCACTTAGAAGTTCTGGAGTCAGAACATCAATGCTGCTAGTTCTGTCATGCAATTGCAGTCTTCCAGGCAATGAGATCTACATAGAATAATAATGTCACAGCTACATAAGGATACAAATTCAGGAAAACAAAAACCTTGTTGTGTAAAAGCTAGAAATATGTTCCAGATATTAAGTAAAGATATATACCCTATCAAGCTGACATGCTGACATCTCAACAATTTAAAAAAAAACATTTTTAATGAGTTATTTGATGGCAAATTGTACTCATGTCAGCGTCATAAAAACTGGAGCGATATGGAGGCATGACACAGATATGGAGTGGCAATATTTGAAATTCTAGAGCCAAGAACTTTGATGTCACAAGTAATATACCTTCAATTTTCCAAGCAAGATGACACCAATATCATCACTTCCAAGAGTCTTCATGTTTGTATGATTGTATCTTTCCCACGTTGATGATGAATGACTTAAGAAATTATTAGCACTAAATTTTTTCTTAATCTGAGAAAGCAATTCATTCAGAATGACCTTGTAGTGGTGGACAAAACTTGAGATAGGCATTACCTGATTGCAGAAAAGAACAGGTGAAATGAATATTAGAAAACGAATAAGCATGTCAATTAAAAAGAGACTAAACTCTGTTCTAATCAAACCAAACAATAGACTTACCAGTTTTAGGTTGAAATCAGGAGTTTCACTATTGCATCCGCATGACTCATGCATGCAGAATTCACTAAAGATCCCGCCCTGTGAATTTAAAGGTTTAATAAAAAGACTAAATGGTGTGTATGGATAGTAGTATCCTAAGAAGAATATAAAGTTACATATTTTGTTGAACTTTGAATTTACCAATTTACCCTAGGTTGAAACATGGATGGCGGTATTTGTGACTCTGCATACATCTTTGTCATTTCATCCTTCTGATAACACCTCATAAAAATGAAGACCATAAAAAATAATGCAAAACAAATTCAAAAAAGCCCAGGATCAAAGTAAAGAACCAAGCCTGATTTCGATTACCTGACAAGATCTTGAGATTTCCTTGTCTGATGGAATTCCATCAAATTTCTGGAAGCACGATCTGACAAGTAATGTCCTGCAAAGTATTGTATTGCAGCTATATCAGCCACAGCTCATAAAAAAAGAATAAAATCACTAAGTATAGCGAAAATCAATCAGAGAGAAAGAGTACCAAAATCTTGCAGGGAAGGACAAAGACTCAATGAATCGACTCAAAGAATTCTGCCGACATGAACCTACAAGACAACTGAAGCACCAGCTGGATGAATCTATGGACAGAAGAGAAAGCTTCCAGGATTCACCGATTTATAGCAAGACCTTACCTCGTTTTAAAAGGTGAAAAAAACTCTACTGTGATGCTGGTCTTGAAGCATGCCCCAAGTATAAGCACTTCTCCCCAAGAAAATTTAGTATTCATAAAATGAACATTTCTGATAAAAATCTGCACTGAAATTAGTTTGAATCAATCAAAGATCTCAAACCAGCACAGATACACTAACTTCTCAGACGCTTACAATAGAAACAAAATGAACCATCTTATTAATACACATCAAACTGAAGCAAGAAGGGGATTCTTACAAGAGAACCAGTTCGGATACTGTGGGATCTGTTGTGTATCTGATCTGTCAATAAAAGCCAGACATCTTCATCCATCTCAACAAGCTTTCCTTTCAAGTACACACCTTTGACATATCCACGGTATGAACTGCAGTTACCTCTCCTAACAACAACACTTTTCGAAACTAGCTGCTTCTTAGAAAACCAAGGCGGATGAAGAACAGAATTCTCGGTCGTCACAAATACCAACAGAGAATCACCTTCACCTCTTACATAAATCAACTTCTTTTTCAACCCAGAAAGAGCAACATTTCTTCCAACTAGCTTCGTTACTGCAGGGTGCCAACTCACAGCCACTAAACCACAAAAGTAAATAAATACAGACTTCTCAAAAGCGTGACTGCAACCAACCGCATCCTGGCTATACGCTTTACACTCACAAGCCATGACATGTACTAAGAACCCAGGAAGATTTACAGAATCACTTGATACCCCATCCATACAAGGAACAACAGACACAGGGCTGATAGACTCTAACACACCATGCACATTATATCGTGACTTACGATCAACGTTTTGCGATGAAAACAAAGACGGAATCAATGGAAACAAACCAATTCCAGAACACCGAGAAAGGAAAGGACCAGTATCCACAAATTCCCACTTAATAATCTCCAAAAACCCACCACAATGCTTCATAGGTATAAAATTCCAAGATAGAACACAAATCTTACACCCAATCACGCTAATTTCGAATTTAAGAATATCACAGCAGATTGTCAAATCACCGTCTGAGAATCGAAAGCAGTAACGGTTCGGACATATTAGGGTTTCGGAAGGGAGAGCTATCGTCCCGACGATAACCGCTGGGTGATTCAACGGTACGAGAAACTTACAGCTCAAGTCGGAATCAACGGCACCGGCACGTGATTTAGGGTTCTTAGAGCTTGATTTGGAAGACGGTGTAGCAGCGGAAGAGAATATCGACGAAGCACCGGTGACGGCTCGGCCATCGTTGACAAGCTCCTTAATCGAGAGAATTGTGGGGTTCTCCATTTTTAGGAGCTTTGAGAATTTTTAGACTCACGGCGACTGTTCGGTGGCTCTGTCGTCGTCCATGGACTAATTAATTTGTGGAGTGAATGAAAAAAGAGGGTGAATTAGAGCGGGAACCCGAGAACGGTGACCCGAATCTTCGACCCGACCGGGTTCGTATTGAGAAACTTCAACTTCGTGCCGTTTTGGTGTAGCGTCAAAAACATGGCTAACGTTTTTGTGAAAACTATTGTAAATGCTAAAGTTGTTTTTTTTTTTACATCTTCAACTTACACAAGTATATCCTTGAGATGTTTTATTTTTATATATGTAAGTTTGGATGACTTTGATGTATGACTCATGCATAATATCCAAATACTTTTTGGACACTATTGATGAAATACACAAAAAGGTTTTATAGAAAAATAAAGTTTAATCTATGATGTAGCACGGATACTGATCTAGTTAAAATTATAAAAGTAGACCAAGTATTGATCATTCCTTAAGTCTTAAGTGTTGTTAGTTGGGTTTGATTCATAATTTTTCTACCATTTTTTGTAGTTTATATAACATTATCATATTGTTTTCCTGCTTTTGATCTAATACAAACATATGTCTTCCCAAAATAACATGTAAGAAACCAACAATAATTTTAAACATCATGTATGTAAAAAAAAATGAAAAAGTGAAATAGATATAGTAATGCATATAATATAATGATCAAAGGGACTTTTTTTATTTTTCTTTTTGTCAAAAATAATGATGCAAAATGTATAATGGAGATCTCTTTTAGAAGAAAAAAAATTATAATATGTTTTTGTCCACTTAAGAACTAAAGTAACTTTTGGGGTTGAAAAAAACATTTTTTGTAGATTATTGAGTGTACAAAAGATCAGTTTTGTGTATTCGCTAAATTTTAAAATCAACGAATAAAAAAGTTAACGAATAAAAAATGACAAAAGAGACAAAACGTAAAAAAAAGAACTGAAAAATGAAAAAAAACGGTTCAAATATGTATATTATAGTGGGGAAAAACTATGTTCTTTTTCAATAAAAATATAAAATATTTTTAAAAATAGTGTATATTCTTTTTAAATAACCTACATTTAGAATTTAAATTATTGCAGCTTTCTCTGCATACCTGGACGATATAATTGCAGATAGGAAAGAATTTTTGACCTTCTCATTATCTCTTATTCCACGAAATTCGAATGTAAAAACGGATTCTCTAGCTCGCCATGTGCGATCTTCTCCGCAGCTTGTCAAGCATGTTAACAATTGTCCTTTGAGTTGGCTCGTTTGAGCTAATTTAAGGACTTTCTTTTGATGACAAAAAAAAAAATTTTAATTATGAATTTGGAGACCTATACCAACCCTCAAAAATCAAGATGAATCATGTATAAACCTAAACTCAAAACCATAATCCATAATACCTAATTCTAAATCATAAAACTAAACTTTAAATAATAAATTCAAAAAAAAAATAGTTCTAAAAAAATCAATGTTTAAGCTCTTAAAACTCTTATAAGATATGGCATTTTCTTACTCTTAAAAAAATTAGCCTATTTTACAAGTTAAAACTTTTTAATATATTTTTCTCTTCCATCAAATAGATGGAAAATACTTTTTTTGACTTAACAATCCATATTTTTTCTCCGTTAAAGCAATTTTTATATAAAAAGCAAATAAATTTAAAATTAATTTACCTTCTTTAAAATTAACTTTGCATGTTCTATTCCATTCTCTCTTTCTCTACCATCACTCTCCCTCATCTCTAACCGGAAAAACCCATCCACAACAATGGCCACCGCAACCCAAATCCAAATCGGAGTAATGGGTTGCGCCGACATCGCTAGAAAAGTCTCCCGAGCCATCCATCTCGCTCCCAACGCCACAATCGCCGCCGTAGCAAGCCGCTCTTTAGAAAAGGCCAAATCTTTCGCCACCGCCAATGACTACCCAGAATCAACCAAAATCCACGGCTCTTACGAATCGCTTCTCGAAGATCCAGAGGTTGATGCTCTCTATGTTCCTCTACCTACTAGTCTCCATGTTGAGTGGGCTATAAAAGCAGCTGAGAAAGGGAAACATATACTTTTGGAGAAGCCTGTTGCTATGAACGTAGCTGAGTTTGATAAGATTGTTGCTGCTTGTGAAGCCAATGGTGTTCAGATTATGGATGGTACTATGTGGTTTCATAACCCTAGAACTGCTAAGCTTAAGGAGTTTTTGTCTGATTCAGAACGTTTTGGTCAGCTTAAAACTGTAAGTTTTCTTTTTGATTTTTCGTGAAATTTGATGTCTTTGGAATGTTTTGGTGTTGGAATTGGATTGGAGTTTTGTGGGTTTCTTTAAAGTTAATTGCTTTGGTTCTCTGATATTAGAGAGTAGATGTTCTTAGTCTCTAGAACTGCTAAGCTTAAGGAGTTTTTGTCTGATTCAGAACGTTTTGGTCAGCTTAAAACTGTAAGTTTTCTTTTTGATTTTTCATGAAATTTGAAGTCTTTGAAATGTTTTGGTGTTGGAATTGGATTGGAGTTTTGTGGGTTTCTTTAAAGTTGGTACCTTTGGTTCTCTCAGATTAGCTTTAGTGTTGAAATTGGATTGGAATTGATTGGAGTTTTGTGGGTTTCTTTAAAGTTATTAGCTTTGGTTCTCTCATATTAGCTTTATAGAGTGATTTGTCAAGTCTCTAGGTTTGATCTGACTTGTGTATGTTTTGATGTTGAAATTGGATTGGGGTTTTGTGGGTTTCTTTAACTAATAGCTTTGGTTCTCTTATAGTAGCTTTATAGAGTGATCTAGGTTTGATCTGACTTGTGTATGTTTTTGATGTTGAAATTGGATTGGATTTTTGTGGGTTTCTTTAAAGTTAATAGCTTTGGTTTTCTCGGATTAGCTTTATAGAGTAGATGTTCTCAGTCCCTACGTTTGATCTGGCTTATGTATATTCTTTTAGTAAACAACATAATTAGTTTAATTTCTGGTTCCTTGATGTTTTGGTAGTGTCAAGAGAATTCTTGAAAGTCTTATTTCTACTTGATTTCTGAATCTGTAGGTTCAGAGTTGTTTCTCATTTGCTGGAGATGAAGACTTCCTCAAAAACGATATCCGTGTGAAACCAGGTCTTGACGGGCTTGGTGCGCTCGGAGATGCTGGATGGTACGCTATCCGAGCAACCCTTTTAGCCACCAACTTTGATCTTCCGAATACAGTAACTGCTTTTCCTAGCGCTGTGCTAAACGAGGCAGGAGTGATTCTCTCCTGTGGAGCAGCTTTAAGCTGGGAAGATGGCCGGACTGCAACCATTTACTGCTCTTTCTTGGCAAATTTAACAATGGAGATAACTGCTATTGGAACGAACGGCACACTTCGTGTCCACGACTTCATTATCCCTTACAAGGAAACCGAGGCATCATTCACCACTAGCACTAAAGCTTGGTTTAATGACCTTGTGACTGGGTGGATTAGTCCCCCGAGTGAGCACACGGTTAAAACAGAGCTTCCACAAGAAGCATGTATGGTCAGAGAATTCGCTCGATTGGTTGGAGAAATCAAGAACAATGGTGCGAAGCCTGATGGGTACTGGCCTAGTATTAGCCGAAAGACACAACTAGTGGTTGATGCTGTTAAAGAGTCTCTTGACAAAAACTGTGAACAGATTAGTCTCTCTGGTCGTTGAAGGAAACAGCTCAATTTAGAAATGTGTCCTGAGATCTCTCCTCTCTTTCACTATGTTCAAACTTCAATCATCCGTTAATTGTTATTACCCTTAATGTTCGAGTCTTCTGCTGCGTCCGCCTGTATCCGTATGGCTGTATTTGTATGTATGTCAGTACTAATAAAACTTTAAAATTTAACGTTCGGTTCAGTTTGAATAATTTTGGTTCAATTTAGGTTTTGGTTTGGTTCTAAAAGAAAAGCTTACGTTCATCACCATCACCAAAGCCATAAAAATTTACTAGAGGACAATTATTTATAACTAAACCAAATGGCCGAGTAAACAAATAAAATCAATGAGATACGATAGTAGTACCATAATTTTAAATATTAACAAAATCTTCTAAATATTATAAATTAATATAAAAAGATATGGTATACAAGTTAGATCTCAATGTTAGTTTTTAAGTTTTGATTGCTTAACAAATTTTTTAAGAAAATAATTAGTAATTTTCGTCCATAATTAATTATAGAGAGAAAGTAAATTATTTTTTTCAAAGCTAATAATTATTTAAAATATTTCTTAGTTTAAAACTTAAATTTCATTTTTAACGTTAATGAGAAATTAATAATTTGCCTTAAGCCAATGACATTTGTATGTAAATTTTTACAAGAGAAAGTGAAAAGTTATTACAAGCGAAAGTGTAAAATTCTTACAACAAATTTAGCCACATGGTTTGATATGTTAGTATTATCAGTTAAATTTAGGACAATTCTCTTAAATACCACTAAAATGAGTATTTTTTCCAAAAATACCGTCATAAATTTTATTTTCTAAAAATAACACTAAAATACAATTTTTCCAAAAATAGCACAAAACTAAACCTTAAATTTTTAACATTAATAAGTAATTTTTTTAATCCTAAATATTAAACCATATCCCTAAGAACTATAGCCTAAATGTAATTAGTCAACCCAAACATAAAAAAGAAATTCTATATCTTCAAAATTCAGTTTTTTATGTTTATGTTATTTTTGGAAAAATAAAATTTTTGTGATATTTTTGGGAAAAAAAACAAATGATGGTAATTTTGGAAAAAATACTTAAAAGATGCTATGCAAAGGAAATTCTCTTAAATGTATGTACCGATGTTCATTCGAAGGTTCCTTTTAAGTACTCTTTATGCACATCATAGGAACCATCGATTTTTTTTTATATTCTGCAACAGAATGAGTCAGTTTTGTGATAGCTCAGGCTAAGGCTACTGCCTCAATGGGAAGATGATGTCTGTTTCTCCATTGTCAACAATAAGATTTTAATTTGGTTTGGCAAAAAAAATAATTGAGGAATTGATTCACCCTAGCGGATGTGAACTTTTGTAGGTAAATTTTTATAAAAAGAAATTGTAAAGTTCTACGATTCTTTCTTGGTTTCGAACGTAAAAATATGCTTATAAATGACCAAAAATGTTTGCTTATTTTTACCTTTTTGTAAGTAAAATGTAAGCAAAACATAAGAAAAATATACGATAAAATTAAGCAAAATATAAGCGTATATGCAAATATACTCTTTTGACTCTACTTTTGAAATATACCACTAAAGAAAATTTTTATTCATAAAATGTATTTGATAACCTTTATTTTATAAATTTTATAAACCTTGTAAACATTTTATAACATACAATTTAAGAACCTTATAAAATTATACAGAAATATTTTATAACATATATTATACAAATTTGAAATACGTATTTGTGATAGCTTTGAAAATTATTAATATATTCCTCAGCTAAGTGGGTTGACAACATATAACGTTGATGAATAATTACAGTGAACCAGTGTTCATTCCCATGGTTCTCTATTACTACACATAAACATCATTGTGTGGTAATGTTTGGTGGCGGAAGCAACAAAACAGTAGCCATCAACAGTTTAAATTGTTTAGTCGAATTACTATTAGAATTATTTTACTGTTTATTTATCCAAACAATTATTTTACTTTTTTTTAAAACCATATCGATCTCTTCCACGGCTATTTGTATGATGCTTGGCTTGTTAATCATCTCCGCCATCGCTCACTCGGCCGCATGATGCTTGGCCGTTAATCATCTCCGCCTACTCGGTCGCATTAGATAGATTATCAACCGTCGCAAACATTAGTTCCTTCATATATAGTCCAATGTACATAGTTAGTTAAAATTAAAATAAAAACGTTTTGCTTATCATATACTCCCTCCGTTTCAAAAAGATTGATGTTTTGGTTTTTTCACACATTAAGATAAAGTAAAGCATTTGTTTATGAATTAATTTATAATAAATTTTTGGTAGAAAGAGAAAGTATAAACCAATAGATAACTGACATGTGTTGAAAAGCATAAAGTAAAAATATAGCTTTAATTTTTTAATATACAACATCAATCTTTCAGAAACAACAAAAAATTCTAAAACATCATATATTATGTGAGGGAGTATAATGCATCTCTATTGCCAAGTTCTAGGCATGTATATAGCGATCCTAAGTACTACATTCAGAGACAAATTATTATTCTTGTAATTGATATCCAAAGCTTTTTTAGAATATTAGACAAATGATTACTCTTGTAAATGATATCCAAAGCTTTTTTTAGAAAATATTCGAGAATTTTTAGTCAGTAAAAATATTGACACGTATCTCAATCATATTAATCAGTAATTTTTAACACAATTTTATGTAATAAAATACCAAATTTTTTATCGAACTTAAGAAAATTCATTTGTGAAACTATGTCAAATAATAAGAACCAAATAGAATAAGAATTAAATAAATTTAAAAGATAATGTAAGAGCGTTTCGAAATGTAAGAGATCAAAGTAAAACTTAGTTAAATGTAAGAGATCAAAGTAGAACTTAGTTAGATAATCATATATATAAAAGTAAGGTTTCACTCTCTCCTTATTGGTGGAAAAATATTTAAGGCTTTATATTTTTTTAAAAATAAATAATTAAATGTTTATGACAATCATTCAATACAAAATTTAATTACACTATAAGTTATAATCAAATGGCAAAGAAAATGAAAGGACTTAATCATATATCATTCAACAAATTTTATAAGGCTTATTGGTGGAAAATAATTTAAAATCATATATATAAAAGTAAGGTTCCACTCTCTTTATTGTTCAATTTTGTATTTATTTTTTAAAATATAATATTTATTTTTAACCAAAAAAAACACATTTAATCATATACATTAATTCATACTTTAAATTCACACTTTACTACTAAAATGAAACTGAAAATTAGATAAATTTCCAAAGACTATTGGTTTTCTTTATTGAATTCCAATTAAACACACTATAAATTATAATTATAACTCCTCTAAATTAATTATTTTAAAAACGTAACTTACATCACTTATCATATAAATAGCCATTCTCACATCCTTCTCTACCATATCTCATATCTTCATTGTTCTCTTTGTTTTTTTTTAAAAGTTCTTGCATGGGGTGAAAACTCATTTAAAATATCATTGTAAGAGTTTGATTAATTATTTAGTTTAAACTTTTGTTTTCAATTTTATTTATTTTTTGTTTTTATGTATT